TTTTGCTCAGATTAATAGAGTTATACATAAAGATACAATTTATGCCTTTTTCACAGAAAGAATTGATACGTCAGAGGGTGGGACAGAGTCCGTCGACCTTCGAGAGTTAAAATTCATCATCATTATATTTTTAACCCCCCGCACTCGCGCATGAGGCAACATCGTACAACGCTTTCGTATTCTATATATTCACATCCTCTTGTACATATACGGTCGACACAATTTTACTAACCTTTCTATTATCTTATGTACGCGTTACCAATGGGCGGATTTAAATTTAGCATTTCTGCATCTATCTATAACATCCGAGTCCTATACCATGCACATTTGAAGAAGACCGGGCATTACACATGTGCGTAACTTCCCAAGGTAATTTTTGCTCCCTCTCACCGCGTCGCAATATAGTTATTTGGCAGCCACGTGTTATTTCGTGCGCCATTGTTTGCAGGGGGTGCGGCAGATATCCCCCTATTATGCGAGTCGCTTTTCTGATCGCAAATTTCAACTGGAATACTAGGATTTCCTTCATGTCGCATTGATTAAATTGATTAGCGTTACAGTAAGAAACTTTCAAAATATTTGACTTGACGAAAAATAGTATGCTACTTTATCAAATTTCATTTCCTAATCTCATCATTTCCATAGCTTTCTGTCAGTAAACGTTCTTATATCTTATTACGATATTCTATAAAAGATTTAAATTAAGATAAATTTTTTTATATTAATTAATCAATAATAAGGAAACATTTTTTATTCTATTTATCCTCGAACAGGTCTGATCAAAAATGCAAGAAAAGCGATTATCAATATTAACCTCTAAAATATTTTATGAGAAAAAATTACATTAAAAGCATTTTTTGGAATAAATTAATGTAAAATATAAAAACGAAAAGAAAATACCAACAATATAGTATCATTTAATTAAGTTATTTTCCCGATTTTTAAATAAAATGTACATTATACCAATAAAATTTGTGAAAGATTATAACAGTTTTGTTTTAAGAAATAGAAATTTAAAACAAAAGTAACAACACAATTATAAAACAAACATTTATATTATAAAATATGATAATACATTTGTGTATATATGTACGTAATAATTTATACTACTTTTTCAAGTGTTACTTAAGCAAAGTAAATCGGAAGAAAATGTAAAAATATTATACACCACAAAAATAGTTATATTAAAATTACAGAATAGATTTTGAGAACTTAATTAAATTTTCACTGTATGGCAAAACATTTTAGTGAATGAACCTAATGGAAAAATTAGTATATAAATAAAAAAATAGCTGAAAAAATTGAAATAATCGCTTTAGTTTAAATATTCGAAATAATTAAGTTTCAGGAGAGATAGGGCCACCCCTGACAGATTCAACGAAAATGTCAAAGAGCTAAGAAGGAAAAAACATTGATCGATATATGTACAGGAATCACGAATCGTCCGAAGCTACCAATTTTTGTCAAACAACCCCAGTAAATCGCGCGTCAGAGAGTTCCTGAAGACGTTTCATCGCGCACGCATTACGACGGAGACAAACGTGAGACCTGTTAAGGAAAGATGACACACGAAACGTAGACAGAGAAGCGAGAAACGAGATCAGTCAGAATACTTACTAAGACCGAAGGGCTCCCAATGGCAGGGCGTCTCGGCGGTGTCTCTCCGTCGGGGTGGGCTTGGAACGTCTGCCCTACGGAGTCCTCCCCGCCCACCGGGTCACCGCGGCGCCCTCTCTCACCGTCGCGGTGGTGGCGGCGGCGGCGACGGCGGCAGCGGCGGCGGCGGCGGCGGCGGCGGCGGTGGCGGCGGCGGCGGCGTCGGCGGCGGCAGTGGCGGTGGTGGTTTCGCTGTGGAAGGCGCGGCAGGGCGCAGCCGCGGCCACCAGCATCCAGGGATTGGCGGTGGTGAGACCGTGCGTCAGCCCCCAAACCTTCCACCATCGACTGTGTACGGCACCCTCCGTCGCATCCTCCGGAAGGGGGTAAGAGGAGGGGGAGGTGGATGGCGGAGAAGAGCGACACGGAAGAGGGCGCAGACAGGGGAGAGCGAGACCAGGTATACCGACGACGGTCGATGCTGCGCGGTATTTCTGGCATCAGGTCGATATCGGCCTCACCTGTGTGCGAAGCGACTGTGGGCTGCCCGCCTGCCTTCCTGCCTACCACCCCGCTCCGAAGGGGTTCTCGGGAACGTGCCCGCTCGCTTTCTCCCCCGCACACCCTTCGGCCAGTGGCTCTTCAACTGGCGGATCGTCAACCCTCTCGTGTGCCTTTCCGCCACCGTCACCTGGCCGCGACGTGAATACGGATAAAGGTGAGATTGCGAGACCCTGCCTGGAGTGGCGGCTCGACCGTGAGCGTAGCACGTTCAGTTTTCCAGGAGACATCGCCACCCGTGCTCTCTTCCTTTCGTCTTCGTTTCTTCGCCGGACTCAGGGGAATTACGATCGTTTGCCGACACTTGACGCGCTCCAACGCGTTTCGGCATCACGGTGAATGTCACGCCGGCACTAGCTAGGATAATGGCCGCGAGCGGAATATCGACGTTGTTGTACGACGTTGTCAATTGGGATTTATTCATCGCGTTTGATTGTTAAATCGCGAGTTCGGTCAAACGGTATTTGGCTTTATTCACATATGTTTATTTTCAGCAAAGTTGTAACTTATTAAAAGTTCCTTCTGCAATTAAATCTTGCCTTAATCGGATAGATAAATTAATGCCCGATTCCATCAATGCAGATTAACTTTAATCTTGATTCAACTTACTTTTTCATCTTTTTCTAAGTTCTAAGAATTAGAAAAAGATGAAGAGCAAGTTAAATCGAGATTAAAGTAAACCTACGTTGGTGGAATCGAGCATAATTGTAGCATATTAAACCTGAAATATTTGGATGCGATATTCAAGTTTTACAAAACTTTTCTTTTTCCTCATTCATAATGATAAAAAGCATTAAAGGAGAACAGAGAGAACAAAGTTTAAGAGATTAAAATTTCTCCTTGTCCTTATACGACGTAGGATATAAGGAGTCGTGTGCGGGTGAAATTAACAATTATCTTTCCATTTTCATATTGTACAGGATGTAAAAAGAACTTGGCAAAGTCAATGCTAACCACGTTGAAGATTACTTTCCCTTTTTTACGTCGCTAAGAAACGTTAAAAGGATACGACGAAGTCAATGGCAGACAGGTAGCTGCGCACGAGCGAGTCGGGAATCAGTAATGTTCGAAGGGGTGCAGGAGGTCAAAAGTCGGGTGACCGAGACTACATAACAGGTTCGCGCTGTAGTCGCTTAACTCCTGCGTAAACCGATCAATTTTAATCATCAAGTAGATAAGGTCAAAGGTATTTTTATATTGGTCGTGAGCAAAAACGCGTGTTGTTAGTTGATACGTGTACTCATACATGAGTTCCAGTCAATACTCCCTGTTTTGTACTTAAACTTATTTTATATATGCTTATTTTGAAAAGATCATTCTGATTATTTTCGCGAATGTAATATTTCTAACTTCATTCGAATTTTTTTTATTTTTATCGAAACACTATTTGGGATGGTATGAAAATTGAACACTGCACGGACACTGTAAAAGATTAGAGTTCAATTAGAAACTTATTGAAGATTAACTTAAAGTTTAGTTTTTAGTTATTAAAGAGTTTTAAGAGTTATTGTCGTACTTAGTATGCATTGATAGATAGTATAAAAAATATTCCAACAACTGCGGAAAGTTTTTGACTCATTTTTTAATTTCATTTATATATTGCGATAGATGCAATTATTAATGTGTAGTATGATTTAAAAAATTGTAATGGGTAATAAATTCATGTGAAATTACAATTAGCAGTAGAGACTCTTTTCCAATAATTGCCAACAAGAATGCATCCGCGAATTTCTCCTTCGCGTGTTGCTTTACGCGCGTCCATTGAAGTTTCCGATATTGAAGATGAAACTGTAAAGCCGAGAAGTTTCTCTCTAGGAGTCTCTAGAAGTTTTATGAAACTAATAATACCATCTATTATTATTGTTTAGCCAACGCTCAAGCTAAAGCTGACGCATCCATGATTCTATCAATCACAAAATCTCGGGGAAACAACTTTAAATAAACAACTAATAAATGAACATAAGTTATTTTTCATTTTGTAGATATTGAACCGTGACTGAAAGTTTTACAACTCTGACATATTTCACGTAAAAAATAAGCAATAATTTTGTCCAAATAGATTACTCGAAAAGTATTTCAAAAAATTGCAGAATTTTATGATTTTAATGTTTCATAGTGAGAGAATTTATAGATAATTATAGAGAGTTATAAAAACTCAAACGGCTGATGTTACGATATTTTATCCTTAATTTACAACACCCTTCGCCATGTTACATGGCAGGCGTCATTGTCGCGAACGGTGTTGAATGTTAAATTAAGACTGTTTCTGACATCAGGCTGGAACGACATGTCACTCGTTCGATTCATTCACTGACATTATCAGATGTGTCGCGTTACTATGAGGGACAGGGCAATTGACGAATGAATTAATAAATAAAGAGTGTTTCCTCTTTTACATGTTCTCTCGGAACATGACAGTTGTTATATTATTATGTTGCGAGAAATGATCAATAGGAAATTTTCATGACATTCCAAGAAACCAATCTATTCTTTTTTTCAAATTTCAGGTTTATAAGTGATAGTCGATTGCCTTAAAAATGGTGAGCGATAAATTAATAAGTGATAAAAAAAACAAAAATCTAACGCTAATGAGGATATTGACCGTTTCGAAATTTAAATAAAATTTTTCTCCGTTTTACTGTGACTTGTTAAAAGAGATTTTTGCGTTTCGCTTCGTTGTATTTTATGCCGTGCGTTATTTTTACTTTCCTGCATTTTTGTCGCACCGCAGCCGCGTGCCGCTAAATATCCGGCTCGCGTGTCCTTTCGTTTAGGACCAGGAATAGATATCGATCAGCCAGTCCAGCTGTTGACCCAGCGGAGCAACATTTATACCGGGCACGTTTGTACACGAGAGAGGACCCGTTTGCGTTCATTGTAACCGCATAAGAGAGAACCTGTCATCATTTTTCCCGTCATCGTCGACTTTCGCACGGTCGCGACTTGTATTCTGCGCCCGAGCCGCCCGTCGTCGGACGGGCAGACGGACGAACGGACGGACGGACGGACGGACGGACGAAATGCTGAAATAAACGATCTCCAGCTGATCGTCCCATTAATGCTCCTCGCGGGAGCGCGCGCGTTTATCTGACAGCTCCGCTTTTACGAATTGAAACGACTTGGGATCGGCGATCACGACTCGCGCGCGACGACTCGTCCTATTCTCGACGACTCGTTTTTGCAGCGTGAGAACGACGGCGACAGGACGCACACGTGTCATGCAGGAGAGGCAGGACATTGTAAAATGCACGGCCCGTGACACCTCGTTTGGCTTAACCGATATTTAACATTCCGCAACCGTTGCGTAACGTAACGCAAATTGAATTCCATTGCGCAAACGGTCACCGCCACCTCTCTTTGTTATTTGTAATAGACGCATCGAAAGATATCTTCTTTAACATTTAGCAACGTCACATTTATCTACGATACATAAGCGAGTGATATAAAGTTATAATTTATAAACACTTAAATAGTCAAGAGCATGAAAGCGCAGAAGAATAAAAATTAAGTACATGAAACAATAAAAAATAAGAAATAAAAACATGTTTTTATTTTTATTATCGACGAATTATAAACAATTCACACAAACATCTTTTGCGCCTTCATGCTCCTGACTATTCAGTATTTTTAATTTTTAAGAAGCGTCTGTTTCTTACAAATTTTATAATTTATAATAAATAAAGTGCACTTATTTATTATTTCATGTGTGCGAAAAAAAGAAATTCTGCTGAAGTACTTAAAAAAAATTTGATTAAATACAAATCTGAAAATAATTTTATTGATCTATTAAAAATAATTATGTTTAATTGATTGTTGGATATTAAAAATTCTTATAATACTATCATCATGCTTTAGCGTCATATGTAATAATTTTGATGGAGTAATATTTGGAGCAAAATTATTTTCAGATCTTTGCATATGCGAAGTTTTTAAATTTTTCACGTATTAGACATAACTTTAAAAATACGCCAATATTTTTTCAATATTAAATAAAAAGCGTTACGCAGATTTGTATTACTTTATAGTAAGAAATTCGTCATCTCTCACGCAATTCTTGCAATTTCGAAATCGGAGGAAGAACAAACGCGACTTAGCGTATACGGCGCAATATCGAGATAGTCTCGATGAAGCATTGAGGCCATGTACAATTCGCGCACTATTGTTTAAAGGAGACGACCGGGAAATTGCGAGGTACGGTAAAACGGTAGACGACAAGCAAGAGGCTAATTAACGTAAAATATTTCGTATAGATAACGCCGACAGTCGGACAACGCTCCAATATGACGACGAAAAACGTTATATACTATTCACGCTCTAATGGCTTTTTACGATTTATCGTGTTCATCGCGCTAATGAATTAGTCCTTGCTATCCCGGCTCTAATTATAACGCCGACCATTTATTCTGCCATTTATACAGTGAGCTAATGATAGCTGAGATAAATGATAAATTACTTTTAATATTGTAAGTATAATTGAATATCGGCTTCTGCGTAGTTTGAAATACAAGCCTCTATTAATTATTATGATTTTATGATGTCGAGATCCTCGCATGTGTTACTTAAGCCATCATTGTATTTTTAACGAGCAGCTATTTGGGTGGCTGAAAACAACCGTGTTGTAAGTCAGCGAACTTCCTCGCAACGTCTTATGTGCGGCGACGCAGCGCGTAATTACGCAGCGCGTACGTGAATGCGTGACGAGTCACGTCCAAAGTTGCGTAAACGTCTATAAGTAGAGAAAGGACGAGAGATAAAACGAAGATGTACAATGATAGCGAATCGCCATACGTATTGTACGTATATATCTCGGTATTATCCGCTTTGTATGTCAAAGGAGCATACATTTTAATAGGACATCGCAGAGATGTCAGAATGATTATGATATTGATATATTGAAATTTTCATATCGCGTATCGATATATCGAAATGTAGAAATACAAAGGGGCAAGAAAGAAAAATATAGGAAGAATATAGAGGTGCACGCAGAGGAGAAATGTCGAAATATTCAAATAACATATGGAATCGTGGATGCATAGGAGTTCCTTCACGTTACGGGTAACGGTTTATGAAGTAGAGAAATTCCGCGGCAGCACAAAGAGAGAGATTCGCGCCTCGTAATTACGAAAATGCGTGTACGTGCGTGAGGAACGCGGCACGTTCCAGGTCGCGGAACTCGACGGAACGGCGACGCGGCAGCGAGCGAGAGAAAAAAAAAGCGAGAAAAGAAGAGAAGGAACGCGCGCGAAGAAGGAAGGGGGCGGAAGAAAGTACCCGATGAGGAAGAGTCGACGAGTGGAATATCAAGCGAACGGCCCGTGTAATTCGGTTCCGTACGATCGAGTTCACAGGCTCCCGGTGGTCCCGGGGCTTGGGCGGGAGGGCGGGGGCCGGCCGGGCGCCAAATCTCTCGCAAAATCTCGTTAGAGAGACAAAAGAGAGTCGCAGGAAATAAAATCCTACCGGATTTCAGCAACCGCGTGCGCGGCATAACTGGCGTATTGTGCAAGCGACGTCTCTCCAAGTGTTCCCCGGTTTATAATGCCTTTCCCCCCTTCGTCCACCCACACCCCCTGCCGTTGTACGCGAGGGGGCGAGACGCGCGCGTTGGCACATCCAGAGAAGAGGAAGCGAATGCGTTTGTTTCGTGGCGAATTTTTTGTCTTCAGATTTAAAAAGCAGAACCTTTGAGAAATGTAGTTGGCCGGAGGAGTGTTTCGCGTTGTACGTATAACTTGTAGTTATACGGCGAAGACGAAAGATCTAGTGCTCGCGACGGACGCAAAATTTGCTCCGGACTCCGAAGCACGCATCATCAAGCGGATAACACGAGTAATATCTTCTAATTACAGCAAGTTTCAAAACTCAGCTCTCCTCTGCTCTCGCGGACTTTGTTGGCAGGTTGTCGAACGAGATTTGTATTTCTCTTTCGTACGAGCGCGCGGCGAACGTTATATATCATCGTGGCGATGCACAAGGAACGTTTAATCCCCGTGATTCAGCTCGTTAGAGGCGGATTGCCCGTTAGATGCGGTTGGACTCCCGGCACTGTTTAGCAGTTAAAAATAAGTTGCGGAACTCCGACGTTGCGGAATTCGGCTGTGGATCGTCCACGGGAGGACCACGTCGTCGTTGGGACGTGCGGGCGAAATGCCGTCAAGCACGAGAGATCTCGCGAGGCGGACAGCTTGCAAGCACGTAGCCGCCCGTGCGCGGGGTGCATCGATGCATGCACGTGCTCGCACAACCCAACTGTGTATGTCGCAAAGTGTTTGCTCGCGGTGTCGTACTGTTTGCGACACGCGACAGCCGGCACCTGCCCGCGGGAAGAGGAATGGCGAGGCCAAAAATCGGAAGACAGAGAAGATTTAAGAGTTCCTTGGTAGCAGCCTCGGGCACATTGAATTTATTAGAGACGTGACATTCCGACGAATAGATGGTGGTTGCAATCTGAGAATAACAAGGCACGTATGTTAGATCGGCGAGAATGTTTTCTTTTAGTACGAATCATCGCTCTTCTGTTACGCGGAAGTTCTACGGTCATGTACTTATCTTCACGGAATATCATTTTTATGGGTTCTCGAATATATATATAAGAATGAAAATATGCAAAGATAAAAATTATTTGATATTCCGATAAACGTTAAATTAATTCAGCGTGGAGAGAAAACGAAGAGAAGCTCTTTCTTCTCTTGTGCTTAGTCGGCGCCACGATGACAGTCGGAACGTTCTTGGACACGCTCCGTGAAGATGTAACACCAGCGATCGGACATGAGTGCTACGTGCGCAAGAAGCGACGTGCACCTGACGTATCCGAGGAACGTTTATGGGAACTCGAAGTGAGGTAAGACTCGCGCAAGGACGGACGGACAGAGCCAGATGTGGGCGCAACAGAGAAATATAAATCACGCAATAGGTCCGCAGAGCCTTCGCTTACCCAGATCGCGTTTTCCGCGATTATAAACTGGAACGCGAGTCCGCGTTGTCGTTTTGCATACAAAAAAAAAATAAAAAAGAAGAGGACACCCGAGTATCCGGAACGGAAAGAAAAACAGCGAGGCCAGCGATTACGCGTGAGAATGACGAGCGAAGCGTTAAACTTCGTTTCATCCTCTTTCCAACGGAAACACGCTGCTCGTCACTTTCCCTCTCTTCAGCTTTTCTCAGGAACACCGTTAATCAACCTTCTCTCTGTGATCTTTCTCTTTCGGAATCATCATCTGGCTTCGTCCGTTTCATATTCTTCTTTTAAGGCTCTTTTAAATTACATTTGACTTTAGATATTTAAATAGAAACAGCGAAAGATTATACATAATATTTTATAAGGTTTTCTCATCAATTTATTGAATGATATTAACGTCACCGAAGAACATAATTTTCCTAAAGAGTACTTCCATAGGAACTAAAGGACCGTAGGAACTAAAGTTTCCAAAGATTGATAAGTTCATAAATCTAATCGTTGCAAGATGGAAAGTGTGAAAGATCGAGAGTCAGGAGAATGACAGATGTAAAGTCTTTAAAAGGTAGAAATTCAGAGATCGGAAGATCCTAAAGTTGGAGCTCCCTGACGGAAGAATAATCTCGTGGATGCCAGTCAACGTTCTCGAGCCCATTAAAAAAGGTACCAGACAGAAAATCGTTCTTCGTACATCCGGCAGCCGCCACCCGCGCGATTCTCACCAAGCCGCCACCGTCGTCGTCGCAATGGCGAGGAAAGAGGGGTTACCAGTCCCCGTAGGAAGGGTGAGCATCGCGTCGCGGACGGGGATGAAACGAGTCCCTCTGTTTGATCCGCAAACACTGTAATTGCCTGGAATATTATATTAGGTACGCCGTTGCGGATGGAGGATGAGGACGGAGGAGTGGATGAGCTACTATGGAGGGATGGCTAGGCCCGAGGGGGGCTGGCTGGAACAAAGGGGAACGACGGCACCCCCGAGCGGGAACGTGAACGCAAGCCGGAACAATAATTTATTTTTGGCCTTCTCGTGAAAGGGAACGCTCTGCCCGTGGCAGGTACATATTAACCCCCGTCCTTGATTGCGGGTCACTCCCGCCTAAATGAGGAAAGAATTACATTGGGAAACAAAGTCCAAAGCGGCACGATGCAATTTTAGTTCCATTCAAGCACCACTGCTAAACTATTTTTAGCTTCATATCGTTATTATTATTGGAATGGAATACGTTTGTGACGTCATCTTAAGGATAACAGAGTCAGAAATTACATTAAATATTTTTACACGCTTTTAAAAATAAATTAATTGTACTAAATGCATATTTATGATATATATTCTTAATAATATTTGTTATTTGTTAAAATATTTATTTATTTATTAAAAAATTACTTTTACTTTATCATATGTTTCTTTGGAAATTTCTTTTTATCTTTTTGGATCATCGATTTTTCTCAACAAATCGCAGCTATTCAGTTATTTTATTGGCTGCTTTGAAAGTTCTTCCTTTGCAATTTCGTCACCGTTGCTACGAACAAGTATGATTTGCATAAATTGAAAGGCAGGCTTAGAAATGATGAGCGCTGAAAGCGAGAGAGGAAGCGAGAGACGTCGGAGAGGATAATCGGGGAGAAGAATGAGGTTTGCTTGCTCGAATTGAAATCTCCGGAGATCGGCCTCGCTTTTACTCGGTTGCGTTTCCGCGCGCTCTGGTCTCATCGCGCTTCCGTGCAACCGTGAAAATTAACAGGATTATCACTTATCTCGTTCTCTATGAGCCGCTTTGAGTGTCAGATACTTGCACAATTATTAAACCGGCGCAATTATAACGCGCAGATCCAGATGTGTTTTGCGTTTTCTCGTTAACAATTTATATCAAAGAAACAGAGAAGAGCCAACGAAATAAATTCTTGTAAACTAACTTTAACTTAAAATATAATAAGAGAATCGACATTGTTGAAAATCCATATTACGTATAACGCAGACGCATGCTAAAGGTATACAAAAGGTATGTCCAGAAGAAGGGAGAGAAGGAGAAATTAAAATAATATGAATACATCAGGAGCGATAATATATTTTTCAGATTTATTTCCTTCACCCTTGTTGAATAAGATCATTTGCATAGTGAGCCAGTGCGTCTTGCGAAATTTACGCAACGATCAAGGAGAAGGCACTATTGCAAATAGGCGAATTGCCAATGGCGCGTTACGAAGTCTCTGACGAGGCTTGGCATCGCATTGTTGCGCACGAAAAATCGATTGCAGGCTCAATTATATGCTGTATCCCTCTCCGTTCCGCTGGCGCCAATGAAGAAAACCGGCCGCGCTGGATCGCGCGCGCGCGCGCGCGCGCGCGCGCGTTCATCCCGCGCGGAATCGTAATCACCGGACGACTGGTTAATGGCGTTTACGTAAGTGCGTCTGTCGGCGGTGTAAACACCGGCTTCTCATGCAAACAGTCGGATTCACTCGACGAAGCACGGGCGGACGAGGCGTCGACAGCCGGGGAAAGCGCGAAAGAGAGAAGTGCAATGTCCGTCCATCGCCAATAAAAGTCGTAAAAAAAAATTTAATGGTCCGACAACGGATCTCGACCTCTATGAATATTCATCTTCAAATTCGGAATACGTACAAAGACGATTTACAAAAGTGTTTAGAGACGTCAAAGAAGGCGCCGATTAAATGATTTTTCGAGATTTGAAATATCCGAGATTAAAAATCATCATGACACGTATCTACGTAAATTTCTGAATGCAAGGCAATTTTGTAATTAATACAGAGATATATATCGCAATAGTAATTAAATTTTCCACATAATGGGGAATATTATTACCGATTGTAATCTCATGTTTATTCGAGCGTTTGCAGCGGTTTGCAGCTTTACGGTTTGTAATATCATGGAAGACACGACGAACGTCGTAGTCGGCGAAGACACATGGCCGGTGCATAGATGATCGCCGAGATTGTAAGTCGTAGAGTGTGCGCCGCAATGTAAATCGCGGTGACCGTGGCCTGCCCGCGGAATCGATTAGCTCTGGCCTTAAAACAACGCTAAACATTTCGCTTAAGAATATAACGCGATCCCGTTCGCGCTGATCGATTTCCTTCCCCGGCGAACGGAAAATTGTAAAGAGACATAAGAAACGCGAAGTGCGGGTGGAACGCGAGGAAATTATGGAGTCCGCTTGCGTGATCGTTGCAATTCCTCGGGGATGACCCAATCCCCAGAAAGGAGCAGGGCAGGACGAAGATCATCCAGGCCGAGATGTGGCAGTCTTATTTCGATATGATAGCGAATTCCCCAAAGTCCTAATGCGTTGTAAATAAAAAATGTAGGACGTTTACATTATAGTTATCAGAAGAAACTGCGGAAAATTGCAAAGAATGTTGTAAATCGATAAAGCTGGAGCTGGAAGTCTTCTAATAAATAAAAAATTTTTGTCGACTAACGCAATATTTAAATTCCAATTTATGTAAAATACAAATGTAATTTTCTATATTTAAAAAAATATATTTATAACATATATATATATACATACATACGTGTGTGTGTGTGTGTGTGTGTGTGTGTGTGTGTGTGTGTG